GTGATTTAATTTATAGGAAATCAAATCAGAAGATTTCTTAGTAAAAAACTACTTATCGCCAATTTATCTGGTTGACTTCTCAGTTTATCGCATTCATGTACAATAATAAAATTCGACCAAATGTACAAGAAATTGAATTTTTTAAACATTAAACGAAATTAGGTAATTACAGTATAACATTTAAGAAATATCTTATTGTTATTTTAAAAAAAATGTTCACATTTAAAGTTTATTTTGTCTGTTAATAAACAGCTTCTGTGGTTTAAATTTCCCGTTGCCGAATTATTAATGGCCTTGATGTAGAATACACGATAAACAACGTTAAATTAAAGGATAAATAAGTTATTTATACTTGAATTTATCTGATCTGTCGAATTTAGTTATTAAAAAGTTGAAGCATTTATAAAATTAATAGGTAACATCCTAAAATCTGCAGTTATTTTGTACTTTTATGTACTATGTTATCTTTTGGTTTTCTTTAAGTATCTAAATACCTACAGCAACCGTTGAGATAAAATTGATAAACACCTTTCGTTGGCATGAGAGTGGGAAATTTTCATTTTAATTTGATAATTCAAAATCACAGCTAGTTTCTTCATTATTGTGCTAACGAAAGATGCATGCCATTTTTACAAAGGTTTTATAACTAAAACATTATTTTTTTTCATTGGCATGCTATTTGAAAGGCAGATTTTTTTAAAAATACGATGCAAATTAAAAAGATACAAATATAACATTAATTTATATCAGCAGTGTTTAGTAATAAGAAATCATAATTATTTTCTTAGACTGCTTATGTACCAAATAAATTTAAATAGGATATTAAAATATAAACAATTAGTTGCTTACAAATTTCGACTGACACTATAACGTTTCTATCTTTTTGTAGACTACAGCGCACTCATTTAATTTAGCGTGATGGTACGATAATCTCGAATTTGATAAATTTTATTGTATTGTATTGTATTGGATTGTATGCCTATTACTTGCTCATTATATAACATAACATTAAATAAATCAGGTTAAACTAAATTATTGCGCCTATTTCTTTTTTTATATAAACTTTAAATATCTACAACAAGAAAATTAACCGAATAAGTTAATTTTTTCAATTAGATTTTGTAAACTGATCCCTGCTTTTAAATATTTAATCTACAACCCTTACAGGAATACTAAAGAAATAGTGCTGCAACTGTTATAACTAAAACTACCTACTTTCTCCACCGCGCAACTACACCATTTTAAAATTTCCGCCAGCTTCGAGCGTCAGACCTGTACATAATAGTAACATATAATACAGATTTAATAAGCTGTTTATCTTTTGTATAGGCAACCCACTGTACACTAGAGAATTCTCATCATCGGTACGGTTTAAAATATTAACAATCAAGAAATAAAAGCGTTTTTAAATTGGGGGTTGGAAGAGCAAATCGGTGTTCTCTATAAATTTTTGTGACAAAATGTAGTGGAGCTATAAACGAAAGCCAGGCCTTTTTAGAAAAAATTTGCTAGACTGAAGTTCGCAATTACCTACAACCCCAACTCAATAATGGTCAATCTAACGGTATTTATACAAGGAAGCAACTCATTCTTGTCCTCCTATGCGTTATGTTCCAGGATGTCTTTTGTTAACCAAATTGGCAACAGATTAATAAAGTATAATTAATACTAATTTAAATATGTATTATTACCTGAATTCGCTCTAGAATTCAACGTTCCATGGGCTGTAACCAATCGCGTGCTTAGTTTCATCCCCATTTTACAGAATTCAATTTATCTGCGTTTTTGCTTCGTGCAAGTTCCATCGCCTGATCACTACTCGCAAAGATATATATGCATTTTTGGGTGTAATAAAATTCGACCAAACGGACAAGTTGAATTTATAAACACTAAACGAATGAAATTAAGAAACTAGCTAATTGCAGTATAACATTTTAGAACTACCTTATTGTTCTTTTTAAAAAAAATTGCACGCAATTAAAGTTTTTCTAGTAATTATATACAGTAATATTAACAAACACATTCTGTGGTTTAATTCTCCTATGTCCGAATTATTAATAACCTTGACGTATAATAATTTTCAGAATTTTAAGCTTTTATAAAGTTATTCGGTAACTAACTAACTACAACTTGTAGTTATTTTGTACCAAAAGAAGACATAATATGTACTTTGTATACGTATACATAATGCAGTCAATTAATTGCATTCTGTTGTTTAAAGAAGACCAAAATATGACATAGATGATATAGATATAGACTATTGCTCATATCACAAAAGAAAAAAAAACACTTAGAATGTATTATTCATCTTATACAGGAACGTAAGAAGTTTTAGTTATAAAACCGTTGTGAATAAATAGACAAGCATATTTCATTGACATACGGGAGGGAAATTGTAATTTTCATTTGAGATAATTCAAAATCACAGCCAGTGTTTCCTTTCTTGTGCCAAAGAAGGTGCATGATTTTTTTTACAAGGGTTTTATAACTGAAACTTCATTTTTTTTCCTTGGCATGCGATTTAAAAACACGGACATTATTAAAAATACTATACCTTTTGAAAAGGTAGAAATAAATTTTAGACTTCACATGCCTGCGAAATAAACAACTGTTACAAATTTCTTAATGTTTGGACAGAAGATTAAAAATTCATTGCGTTGTTACTATATGCTACCAAAAAAAGTAATCAATTTCTGTTTTTGATAAAGAAGCATCTATCTCCGTTACTATTATTACTTTATTGCATTTTTATACGCTCATCACAATTCTGTCAAATAAAACTAACACTTTTATGTCGGCATTTTTAACTATACGCATCTTT